AAAGTTTCTAGGTCTTATTCTGAACACTTAGAAGATGTTGTTACAAGAGCCCTGATTCCCTGTGCCCCATCTCCCGCCCATCTCCCCCATGAGGCGGTTCTGTTATTCAATCAGGGAATTGAGTAACAAACCCTTCAGAAGCCAAGTTCAGGTGAAGCTGCCTTAGATCAAATTCAGCATTTGAGTGTGTCAGTTTGGGGTGGGGCTCTAAGCTAGACATTGCCTGAGAATTTGAGTCTGTTGACCCAGAGCTGGCCACCCAGCTGGTGAGCCTACTTAATGCTAGGATCACTACATGAGGCAGCATTTACTGAGCACTGCCTGTGTGCCAGGCATGTGCAAAGTATGTCACCAGACAACTCCACGTCTAGGCCGTCTTAGTTCCAGGTGACACAGAGGTGTTCCACTCACCAGAAGATCCCTTCTGGCTAGGCTTGTAGCTCACCCTCAGCCTCATGGAGGGAAGCATCTGCTGAGTTGGAGCACAGAGGATCCTGATCATTTGAGAGGCCATCTAGACTAGCCCCTTCTGTGACAGATGGAGAAACTGAGGCCCGAGGAGAAAACAGGACCTGTTCAAGTTCACACAAGAATCTTGTTCTGAAGTCTTCAGGAGCAGTGTACATAAAGATTGATCCCGATCTTTTACTTTCACATCCCTGCTAGTTTCAGAGATCAATTCCAAGACTTGTATTTTTCCTTTCTTGATTCTCTGGGTGTGGTGGTACATGCCTATAAGCCCAGCACTCAGGAGGTAGAAGAAGGAAGTCCGAGGATCAGAAGTTCCAGGTCATCCTCTGAGTATGAGGCCAGCCTGAGGTATATGAGACCCTCTGTCCAAACCAAACCAAACCCTAATGTGCACTCTGCACCTGTCCTTATTGTTTGAAGCTCTTCCACACAGTATGTCATGAAGGTGACAATTCATCCCTTGCCTTCAGAGTGTTAGTAACTTGTAGGGTGCCCTGTAGGGACAACTGATCCCTCCTGATGTAAATCCTGGCTTCTTCAGCTGCTAGTTGGTGTCCTTGCTCAGATCAGTCAATCTCTGAGCTGCTTCGTTCACTGGTAAAATGAGGACAACGCTCTCACATTAAGATGTGTTGTATTTTAGGTCAGGGCTGGCCAGTGCAAACAGGAGCCATGCATGTAAGCTTAAACTTTCTAGTAGCCACATTATAAAGAAATAAAAGTGGCCAGGTGTAGTGAGGCACTCCTGTTATTCCAGTACACTGGAGGCAGAAGCAGGAGGATCACAGCACATTCAAGTCCAGCTTGGTCTATATAGCAAGTTCTAGAAAAGTCAGAGCTATATAGAGAGGTCTGTCCCTACATAAATGAATAAACACGTTTATTTATTAGCCTCAGTTGTCAATTTGACACACAGGAAAAGGGACCCTCAATTGGGGAATTTCCTCTGTTGAATTGACCTGTGGGCATGTCTGTGAGGCACTTTGATTGTTGAGTAATGTGAGAAGGCCCAGTCCACTGTGGATGGTCCTAGGTTGTACAAGAAAACAGGCTGAGCACAGGCCAGGGGAGCAAGCCAGTAAGCAGTGTTCCTCCATCAGTTTCTGCCTCTGCATTTTTACCCTGAGCTTCTGCCTTGGGTCCCTTCCATGATGAATTGTAAGCTGAAGGTGAAATGAACCCTTTCCTTCCCAAGTTGGTTTTGATCAGTTTTATCCCAGCAATAGAAAGTAAAAAGGACAAACACTTGAAGAGAACAAGTGATCAAAGCAGTTGATGTAAACCAATATTTACTTTTATAAGTTGTTTCATGTTGCCCAGTATCCTCAAACTATCATGGTGGTGTCTGGTGACTAGTCAGGCTTTCATGGGACTCTTAGTCTCCACTTCATGCCATGTCTTTATAATCTGGTGTGTGGTTTGCCCTACAGACCTCTGTTTGCATTGGCACAAGTGTGCCATAGCCACAGGTGTCTGTGATCCTGGCAGTTAATCTTGTTCTAGGCTGTTCTCAGTAGGTCCCAGACAGCCTTTGATAATTTTTCCTCCCTGGTTACCTTCCTCCAGTGTCTCCAATAGGACTTTCACATTCTTTGTAGATATTCACCTTATCCTCTGCCCTACTGCAGTGGCAGGAATTCCCCAAGCCCAGTGGACTGAGATGGGAAGAAGAGGCGATGGGAAGGCTGGAGGGACTACATTCTCCCTGAGGTGGGCCTGGCCCTGGTGACTGTGAGACGTGCACACTGTACCTGCCCTAGCTTAGAAACTTGCCTTGCTGTGTCCTAGGCAACCCTGTGGCCAGACAAATGTAGCCTTGTAAGGAGATAACTCCACAGTTGTGGCTATTGCTGCCATTTGAGAATTATTAGGCAAATACCTCAATTATACACCACTATGCTCCGGAAACACAGAGACTCAAGCCTGGCTTCACCTGTCCGAGGCTGGGACAAGGCATGGGAACTTGGGTTTTCCTGCTAGCAGCTCCTGGAGGGGAGACCAAGGTGAGGCCAGTGGAGCTAGAGCTGAGGGTGACCAATGAGCACAAGGGAGGGACTCAGTAAGCCTAGGCTTGTACAATGTGAGACACGCAGGCAGTATGACACAGCTCACAGGCTTGTGAGCTCTGTAGTGTGACTGAGGGCAGCACAATCTCTTCACACCCAGATTCCAGAAGGTCCTTCCTTGGTTCAGAGCTCTGCCCTCAGGCTGCGTGGGGGCATGCTCTGGCTCTGCCACGTACCATATGGATATGACCAGTGTCTCTCTTACCTTGCGTGTCTTCAACTAGGAACTGGGTCATGACTCTTTCCTAGGGTTTTCTGAGCATTGAATGAGGCAGTAACTGTGGGGCTCAGCATCATGCTGGGCCACCATGATTTTGCTTTACTAGGAAGAGCTGGTTCCCCAGCACTCTGTCTAGAACAGAGGCTCCTTGTTATTTCTCTCCATCAACCCATGTGCTGAAACCAGAGCATGGATGTAGATCTGTGCTGATGGAGAGAATTCTCTTGAGGTACATCGTTAAGAGTCAGGTTCAGGGTTGTCTGTAATAAACACCAACATGGAGACCCTATGTGACTGAGGCCTGTATTTAGAAGGTACTATAAGGAGCACCTGGGGAGGAGATCTGGGGACAGACCTTCATGCCAGTCACACTTTACCATGGTGTGTATTACTGATTTGTTTTTTGAGCATTCATTACTTTTTCATTTAAAAACCAAGTACTTAAGTGGCCCCCCTCCTCCCTCTGATGACAAATTGCCATTGCAGAAAATGTCTAAACTCTGAAGAAAGAACGGACTGCGACCCCATTGCTGGGCATTAGAGAACCCAGGGCTTCTACCTGGGAAAATGGTTTGCCCCTAAGTTCATTTCCCATGTACTCTCACTCAAGCACCTGCCAGCATAGGACTCAGGCAAGAGGAAGGGGCCACCAAAGGGCCCACATGTTAGGTGACACACAGATACCTAGTGAAGGAAATATTTTACACACACACACACACACGCACAAATAATGCCACACACACACACACGCACAAATAATGAAGCCCAAGGACTACACATGCACCGCTCAACAACTAAACCACCTCATATACACCAGGGATGGAAGAGTTCACCTCACTTTATCCATTTCTACTCTAATCCCCAAAGCACTTCACACTTACAAACGCACACCCCCAATTACCAAGCCTTTACGTGCTCACCATTGAAAGTACCTCACATCCCCATAGACCTATGCAATAATCAAAGCATTTCATATACCCATAGCACTAACCAAAAAGCTACACAAACGTGCATGTACACACACACACACACACACACACACACACACACACATAAAGCTCAAAGCAAAGGGTTTCACACATACATCCAATAATCAGAATACTTCAAACACCCACACCATAACCAAAGGGCCACACACACACACACACACACACACACACACACACACGTGTAAAGGGCTTCTCTTATATCCCCAATTATCAGCACTTCGTATGCTTGCACCAATAACCAATCATAACACCTCCCAACAACGAAAGCATTTCACAAACACATATGTGTACTCTCTCAAAGTTCCTCACACAGCCCCCACATCTAAACTATTTCACCCGTATACCCCAACCATCACAGCTCTCTGTGGGACACCCCTCACCCTTGTCCCCAAGCTCTTGGATTTGCTTGCTGCTGCTGCAGATACTTGAACACTGAGACATTAGCCTGTGACTTTCTTTTCAGATTAATGAGCAGGGAAAGATTGGAGGAGGGAGGGGGTGAGAATGGCGGGAGAGAGCAATTACACCCAAATCTTTTCTCTGTTGATTAGGGATTCCTTCTTCAGCCTGCTTTGGCTCCGGCTAAATCTTTTTCTAATGAGATGTGGCTTATCCAGATCAGGGCGCTGAGAAAAAAGTTGCAATTAACTTTAAGAAGAAAAGGAGTGAGAAAGAAGGAAGTGTGGAGGGGGGAGGCAGGACTGGGGTGGGGGCAGGGACAGGCTCAGTGGTCAGGGCCTGGTGTAGCCATCGCGGAGAAGGCTAGTGGGCAGGTGGAGGGGACCCTAGCTGGCCTCACTGGGAGGCTGCAATCTGCTTTTATGCATTCTAGAGCTTAGGAAGCGCCCCTTGAGGCCTCTGCCAGCCTAGGCCAGTTCTCTTGGATACTACTGGCTCAAGGAGACAGTGGGAGGTGGTCACCTCCTCTAGTCTAGGGCTTCCCCACTCCCCCACACCCCCTTTCAGCTGCTTCTCTCCCTATTGTCAGCTCAGCCTAGAGAAGACATTTTCTCAGGAGCTCTTGTCTCAGGAGCTGCTGGCAGTCAGCTGTCCACTGGCAGCCTGAAGTCACCATCCTGAAGTGGGCCTCAGATGCAAGAGCTGAGCCACAGCGTCTTCCTGGCCTGCCTCACTCTTCCCACCTGGGAGCGGAATCCAGAGCCCAGAAAAGGATGGAGAAGAGCTAGGATGGAAAGAGACATTCACACTGACATGGAGAACTGTCTTGAGCTCCCAGAACCACCATAGACTTACCTTGACCCTCCTCTGTATTGTTAGGTCAAGCCTGGTCAAGCTGCAGCTGTACACTAGCGGTTTCCTGACTCAGGGTCCCAGTGCTGTCACCTGTTAAGGACTATAAAAGGAAGGGTTGGTGGAATCCAGAGCCTCTGCCCCCTTGTAGCCCCTGGGCCAAGAAAGGCCCAGATGCCCTGTTACCAGGCCTCTACCCCACCCACCTTGCACTCTCTGTTTTGTTTATTCAGGGGATGCTTGAACTTTCCTACAAGGTTTTATCCAAGGGAAGCCTGGGTTTTGTAGTAGCCTGGGTGATGACTATCCAGCAAGGCCTGAGGGCATCTAGCATAACCCGGTACGTGTGGTGGGGTCTCAGATGAAGACTTGACATCGGTATGCCAGCCGAGCTGGAGACCCTGGGAGTGGGTCACCTAGAATTAAGCTAGGAAGGGGCAGGTGAAAGGGCAAGAGTGGGTGTAGTTTCCATGCTTTGTCGCCCACAGACACACACAGCCACATTTGTTAAGGGGTCTAGGCAGACTGTGCAAAGCCAGATTCTTTTATTCTGTTCACAGCATACTGTCTTTTCCATCCCGTGGGCCCCTCTGAGGGGATTAGAAGGGATTTCTGGTAGGTGATGGTGATTCCGAACAGAAGTAAAGATAGACTTCTCTGATTCTTGCCTCATTCATCTTAGTAGTTCGTTTGCTGCCTGAAGAAAAGAGACCTCTGCGCTACGGGAGGCCACCCCTGGACATACTACTCCCTCAAGGGGATACTTGTATGACCCCTCACCAGAGAAACCAGGAAGATGAGCCCAGATTGAGGGACAGATCAACCGAGCCCATCTTTCCTATGCATAAGTTCCACAGAAGTCAGCTTCAAGCCCCAGGAATCTCCCCAGGGCCTGCTACCTGGATCACAGGCCAACTCTTCTTTCTGCCCCCTCTCTCCACCATGTTAGCTGCTGGGGACAATCTGGGCTTTCTCCTGAGGAATCTCCCCAGGGCCTGCTACCTGGATCACAGGCCAACTCTTCTTTCTGGCCCTTCTCTCCACCATGTTAGCTGCTGGGGACAATCTGAGCTTTCTCCTTTCTCTCTCTGCTGCCAATCGAATAAGCATATGTGCTAGAAATCCTAGCTGCAGTGCTAAGTCAAAAATTCTTCTTAAATATATAGCAAGGTCAGATGAAGGAAAAAAAAAAAGAAAGAAAGAAAGAAAACAAAACACAAAACCCTGAAACCGAAATTGGACACAGAAGGGCAGATGTAGACTGAACAGGAAGTGCTGGCCCTAGGCTAAATGAAACAGCTGTCACCATTGTTCTGGACCGAGAACTGCCTTTGCAAACTCCATGCGAGCCAGGCTCAGAAAGCAGATGTTAATAATTACAGCACATGAAACGAAGGGCACAGGATTAGGCAAGTGACGAAAAAGAAATGGTACCAGTAGATTTATAACTGGCTCAGGCAGATCTGCTTGGGGTGGGGGTGGACCTGGCAGCCTGGCTGCAGAGGCCCCCACCCACTCCCTTCCTAGCATAGATTCTTAACTTCTCCCATCACCCTCAAATCAGGAGTTTGTTAGACTATTTAATGGTGGTGGACTGGGGAGATTGCTCCTAGTTGTCTTTCTAAGAATATCATGGTTATAGGGCCACAGCCAAATGCCTTTATTTATGGGATCCTAACAGATAAAATCCCCAATACTAGGGCTGGGGAGAAGGCTCAATGGGTAAAGTTCAGGCTGTGTAAGCATGAGGACCTGTGCTTGAATCCCCCAGCACCCACATAAAACTCAGGCATGGTGGCATGTATCTGTAACCCCAGTGCTGGAAAGTAGAAACAGGCAGATCCCAGGGGGTGGGCTAGCCAGTTTAGCCAAGATAGTGAGTTTTAGGTACTGTGAGAGCCAGTTGAAGCTGGGTGTGCTCGTACGTACCTTTAATCCTAGCACTCGGGAAGCAGGAGTAGATGGATCTCTGCTGGTTCAAGCTCAGCCTGGTTTATGTAGTAAGTTTCAGGCCAGTCAGGGCTACGTATTGAGCCCTTGTTTCTCGGTGGGGAAAAGGAAAAAGAAGTTAGGGGAAGGCATTTGACATTGACTTCTGGCCTTCACACACACACACACACACACACACACACACACGCACACATACACGCACATGCATATGCACATGTACACATATGCACAATCCCAATACTCAGCCCAAGTGCCAAAGGGGGCCTCTGGACAAATAGCTAGATGGGTGATTGATCAAAGGAGACTTTTAAAAAATCTTTATTTATGTGTATGAGTGTTTTGCTTGCATGAATTTAAGTGTACCATGTGTGTGCAGTGTCTTCAGAGGCCAGAAGAGGGCGTCAGATCCCAAGAACTGGATCTATAGAAGATTTAGCTACTATGTGGGTGCTGGGAACAAAATCTGGGTCCTCTGCACGAGCAATTGGTGCTATTAACTGCTGAGCCATCTCTAGCCCAACAGGGACTTTTGAGGATGTAAAGCCAGGCAGCCATCCTTAAAACTTTTACTAATGCATTCATCTTTAAAATTCAGGAGCTCAGATCCTTGCAGCTGAACCTGATTCACACTTTCAAGTTGGCCTGCCTTGGAGAGGGTTGGGGAGTCTGGGAGGATGTTGAGACCACTGTAGAAAGTCAGTCAGGCAAGTTTCTCAGACTAATTACATAAGTAGAAAAAGCAGTCTCCACACGTTGGCTGAATGTTCCCCCATGCTTTTACACGTGAGTGGGGGTTGTAAAAAGCAAAACAAAACAACGTACTCATATCTGAAAAAAAAAAAAATCCTCTCATCCTACCACCCGCCAGAATGGACGCCTCTCCGAAAGAGTAGAAAGACGGTAAAAGCATGTGTTTGGCATCTTTCTGCCCGATATGGAAACCATATGCTGAAATACACTAGCAAACATACTTAATATAACACTCTCTTTTATTAAATGTGGTTTTATAAACGCTCTCCCCAGCCAGGGCACCTTTGCCGTGCTGGAGGCTGGAACTTAGCAAAATCCTCTTCCCGCTGTTACATCTATTGATATACATTTTTTGAAAATGAGTCTTGGACCCTCGGAAAATAGGCTGCTTCTGATTATTATTGCAAGAGGGAAGGGGCATAGGAGGGCATCTTTTTTCCTCTGATAAATTAAAAGAACTGTAACGGGTGCTTTCTGTAACCTGTAAAAGGGCAGAGCCATCTGTGATTCATTTAGCAGCTCCTTACAGAAGATTTATTTGATTAATTCGGGCAGAATAGAGAGAATATGGATTTTCCCCTTCTCAGAAAGGCACATACACCCTCACACAAGCACACATGCACCACCCATGGGCAGTTATCTCAGGAATGAAAAATGACTAATCGTGTTATTGGAACTGGTGCACGTGGGGCCTCCGCGGTGAGATAGCAAAGATAGCAAGCTGCCGCCCCACTGAGGGGAGGACCGTTTCAGAACAGCTCACAGGCACAGGGCCAGCAACACCAAAAACGGAGACTGGGAATAACACCAGGATGCTGGGTTGCTTTGATGAGGCAGGGTCGCTCAGTACCAGGCACTGTACCAAACTCTTTGGGTGATTTTCTCATTGCAGGGTCTCATAGACCCTTGGAGGAGGAATCGTTACTGTCACTTTACAGATGGGGCCACTACCCATTTCCTGCTTCAAAGTCTCTTTACTGCTGTCAATTTTACTACCACTGACCTACATTCCAGGCCCCTCTTCTCACTTCTTTTGGTGTCTATGTGTATGTGTGTATGGGCAGGTATATGTGTATATTCATATATGTGCAGGTGTGTGTATATGTGTGTGTGCAAGTAGAGGCCAGACATCAACCTTAGGTGTCCTTCCTCAAGTGACATCCACCTTGATTCAAAAAGCAAGCTGGAGGGTCTAGAGAGGTGACTCAGTGGTTAAGCACCAGCTGCTCTTCCAGAAGACCGGGTAGCTACATGGCAGCTAACAACCATCTGTAACTCCAGTTCCAAGGCCTCTGTGGGCATTGCATGACACTGATGCACTTACTACATGCAAGCAAAACACTTATACACATAAAAATATAAAAATAAGTCAGCTACTTTAAAAAGAATCAAGAAGGAACTTGCCAATTGAGTAGGTTGGCTGGCCAGTGAGCCCCAGGGCTCTCCCTGTATCAGTCTCCCCAACACTGGGATTATAAATGCATGCCAACATGCTGGGATTTTTTTTGTTTTTTTGGTCTTTTTTTGGGACAGGGTCTCCCTGTAGCCCCAGCTGTCCTGGAACTGGCTATGTAGACCAGGCTGGCCTTGAATTCACAGAGATCCGCCTGCCTCTGCCTCCCGAGTGCTGGGATTAAAGGCGTGCGCCACCACGCCCAGCTATGCTGGGCTTTTTAACATGAGTTTTAAGAGACCCATCTTAGGTCCACACACTTATACAGCAAGCACTTTACTGCCTGAGCTATCTCCACAACTTTCACTAAAAATAAATGTAGACTTTCCTTTCTCAGTCTTTCAGGATCAAGCTATCTGGATAAAGGTTGTATTTTGTATTTGTGGCATGGTGAGTAATCAGTGACATGGCTTATCCATGTCAGATGCTTCATGATCTGTGGGATTCGGTTTTGTGCTAGAGAAACTCTTTCGGGCTACTTTCTGATCTCTAGGAGAGCTAACCTCTATTCCTTGAGTGTCTCTAACTTATATGGTAAAACCTCAAAGTAATTATCTGTAGACCACTGTCACTTTCTGGTAGATGGGACCAACCCTGAAATAGGTCCTCAGAGAAGACAAAACAGCAAAGCCAAATAGAAGATCTGAACTCAAGAGGACTCTGGATAGCATTGTCAAGAGTCACAATATGTGGGAAGTCAAGCTGTCCTGCCCTCTTTCTTTGCTCAGAGCAGACATTGCTAATTGATTCCAGCTCACTTCCTCCTTACTCTCGAAATCTTCACAGCCCTCCATACAGCTTCTACCAATGGATCATAGTCAGCACATGACTTGAAAGCAGCTCACAGTGCCTTCCAACTGAGTATTTCATTTTGGAGAGGGATAAACAGGAGCCCAGAGGGGAGAAACCAGCTACAAACGAGCTAGGAAGCCAGCCTTGGCTCCGGTTTTCCCACCCGTACCTTTCATATTCACATTGGCCAGGCTGGTCGAAGCCAAGAAAGGAGGGTCATGAGCCTCTGGATTCCACTCTTTGCTTCTTTCTGCAGCTGAATGTCTGAAGCTACTTGCACACAGGCTAAAAGGTGCCTCCTGAGAGACTGCAGAAGATCAAGCGAGGCTCGAGTGCAGTGGCCTGAACCTGCAATAAGTTATAAGCCAAAATCTAAGATTCTAGGAAGAAGTGGAAGATTTCTTTCTGAAAACTTAGATGAGGAGTAGATACTCCCACTCCCCCTTGTAGGACCACAGGAAATGCCTAGATCAAAGGCAACCAGTTCTCCACAGGCTTGAGGTATGACAGTCTGTTTCCCGTTGGCCTCAGACTTTTCTGCTAGGTGGTGCTTCCTTGGGGAAAGAATAACAGGACTTTGGGAAAGGAAGACGGTGTCTCCATTCCCCCCAGAGCCCCTTCCTGCTGGTTCTATAGGAACAGCCTCTCAGCCTGAGGTGATTCTATGGGTCTGGGGGAAGGGCTCATTCTCCAGCTCTACTAAATGTTTGATTAGGAGAAAACATTTCCATGGAAAACTGTGAGCCAGGACTCTGGTCCCAAGAACCAAGGGTGGGTCTGAAAGATGGTATTATTTTGAAAGGAGGTCATGGTGGCTTAGTGCTAAGAGGGTTTTCAACCTCTGCTTAGCAAGGCTATCTGCTGAGTCTAGGAGTTCAGCACTTGTCTCTCAGCTCCTGGATTGCCTCGGTTGCCACTGGTTGTTTTTCTGCTGTTTCTTATGTATGGGTGCACACACATGTGCATGTGTGTGCAGGTGCATGTGCATGCACTTGGAGGCCAGAGGACAATCTCTGGTGGTGTTCCTCAGGTACCATCCCACTTTTTTCACTGAGCTCTTTCCCTGGTTCCTATTTCCACTATTTCTGAAGAGACTTGAAGACACTTGCTCCAGTCCTGTTTATGCTCCAAATTTCCACTTTCTATCAAGAAAAGCTTACTGAAGTAATCCCACTGTAGCCCAGCACAGTCTCTTGAAAAGAGCAGAAATATGGAATCATTTGGAACCTAAGGAATGATAACGTTATAATGCTCAAATAATATCCCTTAACAGGCGTTGTAAACCACATGTCATTTGTTGAATAAAGACATTAACCTGTATTTCAGGAGAGTGGTTTTCTGGAATGTTCCTGATGTAGTATATCCATGCAATGAAATATTCTTCGCCCAATGAAGTATAGGCACATCCTACAATGTACGTGAACATGGATGACATTGAATGAAAGAAGACAGATGTGAAAGCCACATTGTATATGCTTTTGTTTATATGAAGCTTGTAGACTGTGTAACTCCACAGAGATAAAAAAAAAAGTAGATTCATGGTTGGTTAGGGCTAGTGATGGGAGGGGAGGAGAGGGAAAGGATAGCTCTAGAGTACTGGCTTTCTTTTTAAGGTGATGGGAATGTTCAAAAGTTAGCTGTGGTGATGGTTTCATGTGTCTGTTACATGCTCAAATACCACTGACTCACATGCTGAATGATTATTTTCATCTCTATAACAAAATACCTGACAAAAGCAACTTAAGGAAGGGAGGGTTTATTTTGGCTCATGGTTTTAGGGAATACAGTCTGTCATGTCCTGCAGTTCATAGTGGGGGAGCACGAGGCAGCTGTGTCCACAGTCAGAAAGCAGAGAGAGATGAATGCTGGCTTTCTCTCTTTCCCTTTTAGAACATACTTATTTTTATTTTATGTGTATGAGTGTTTTGCCTGCATGTATGTAACCGCACCCATGTCACACAATGCCTGTGGAGGTCAAAAGGGTGTTGAATCCCCTGGTACTGGAGGTACAGATGGTCATTACCCACCATGTGATGGGTGCTGGGAATTGAACCAGGGTCCTCTTCAAGAGCAGTCAGTGCTCTTAACTGCTGAGCCATCTCTCCAGCTCCTCTTTTTCCCTTTTCATTCAGTCTAGGACCCCAGTTCATGGAATGGTACGAATCACATTCAGAGCAAATTTTCTCTCTTCAGTTAAACCTCTGTGGTACACCCTCACAGACATGTCCAGGGGGGTGTCTCCGAGGTTAGCCCAAACTTAGTAAAGTTGATAGTGAAAATTATCACACACACATACACACACACATACACACTTTAAATGGAGAAACCGTACTTTATGTGGCTATGTCATTGAAGCTGTTTTAAGAAGAAAGTAGCTCCTTATTTTTTACTGAATGTGGCTACAGTAACGGGTTGGTGACACCTTTGAAAACTGAGGGCTTATATCACTCGAGGCATTCAGATGAGGGAAAAAAATCCACAAAATTTACCCTTGGACCAAACTTGGCCTCAGATTTCCCACTTATTAGAAGAGAAAGAAGTTCCTCCCTCAAAGGGCTATGGGAAGGGAAAACAAGATAAAATAGGCTCAGAACTCAGCACAGAGCCTGGCTTGTCACAGGCACCCAGGAGGTGGTAGTGGACATTGTCATTATTCTGCTTGAAGTCCGGGGTGGAATGGTTCAGGGGACAATCTGGTTAGAAAGGGAGAGAGTCACTGGGGGTCACAAATGAAGCTGTAACATTTGCAAATCACCTCTGTTGCATCAGCTTAGGTCCTGTGCCACAGTGAAAAGATATTTGCAGTTTCTAAAGATGCTTTTATTCACACTTTTCATAAGGCTGTGAACATATTTACATCAAATAATAACATTATTATTTTGAACAATTTGACATGTCTTGGATGTGGGTAGTGGAGGCAGATTTATGGAGGAGTTAAAATCTCCTCTTTCCCTGTAAACCATACAGGTGCTTTTAAAACTGGAATTACCATGTGTAGAGGACACTAGGCAGAGTCAAGGGCTGACCCTGGACTTTGGTGTTTTCATTCGTAAAATGAGAGGGTGGTATGGTGGTGGGAGGTATCTCAGATCAGCCTTCAAGCAAAGGACTTCAGTCTGTGGCGATGGCCCAGATCGTCTCACTGGGTTGCTTCCCCACACTTGACTTGTCCCTTCTGTTCCATAGATGGCGGATTCTAGAATCACATCAGGAAGCTCACAGAACACTGACTGGAAGAGAAGCATGCCCTTTATCTCCATCTGATTCTTGATCCTCCACATGGATTTGGGGTCACCAGCATCCCTCTTACCCAAATTCACTTGTACCTCTGGATGTGTCCTGGCTTGGAAACATAGACTATGGAGATGTGATCAAATTAAGATGAGATCATTGGGAGAGGGAATTTGGAAACAAAAATACACATAGAAACACAGGGAGGAAAATTCTATGTGATAATGGGAGCAAAGGTTGGACCCATGACGCTATAAGCCAAGGACCCCCAAGGCTTGCCATCCAGCAGCTGCGAGGCATTAGGAGAGAGGCATGCAGCAGGGCCTCCAGAAGAACCAGCCATGATCTTGGCACTCTAGCAAAGGAAATACCAGCCTGGGGGTCCCAGGGCCTTAGGGTTAACTGAGATTGTTGTATGGATTCCTATACATTTCTGCAATCTCTAGGAGCCAAATGGTGATGGATGTGGACCCTTCCACTAAGGCCACCTGGACCGCCCAATACGTCACAGTTCTTTGTGCTGACCTGAAATGATATCAGCTGGACACGGTGATTCTCATTCTCTGGTGGCTGGAGCTGCCAAGATGATACCCTGGGAGCTAGACTTGGCTTTTTCTAATAAGAAAGCAGAGCATACTAAGTGTGCTTGCTCAACAGAAAAACAGCTCTTGAAATGCAGAAATGTTTGTGGGGAGAGAGGTGCTAAATAATTGAATGTAATCTATGGGAGAGGAAAGGCCATTATTTCCAAAATACCTTTTGGTAGAATCTCTGCAATGATGTGAGCTTGATGCTGGGGGCAGCAACATGCTGGACAGAGGAAGTCTGTCCTCACTGCTGGAGACAGACAGTGCACAGGGATGCAAAATGGGGTCTTCTCAAGCTCTTAATAATAATAGCTAGCAACTGGAAACAGTGCAGGTGCCCTGCATTAGGGAATTCTGATTTATGCCCAGACAGGACAGGTTAGAACCCCGTGGGAACATTAAGACCAGTCTTAACATTAAGTCAGTCTTTCTTTAGCTGGGGAAACTGAGGCAATGTGGCCTGCCCTGCATCTCTCAGGAAACCAGTGGTGCTTTGTTGGATCTTGGGCCTGAGCTCCCTAGACAGGGCTCTCGCCAGGCTGTGTATCTGCCTCTCAGGACGCGTCTCTGCTAAGTGCTTTTATGGGCCTAGGTACATAAAGTATCTCTACTGAGCAGGTCTAAAGACTTCCAGAAGTCTTACATTGTGAACGTCGCTATGCTCAGATTCTCTAAGAGTGTGACAGATGACACATGCAGGATCCATGTACCCACAGAGGATTTCAAAAGCAGCAATCCAAGTGTGGTTGTGGACTGAGCCCCAAGAAAGGCAGCAGCCTGGGTGACGGAAGGAGATTATTCACAGAACACTTCTCAATCGTTATTTCTTCATCCCCCGTCCTGAGCATGGGACTGCAGAATGGGGAGATCCTGGCAGGCCTAGGGACCCAGGATACTGCCCTGCACCTTGGGCTGGAGTGACCCAGACCTCCAAAGAGACCCACTCATGGACATATGATATGGAAGCAGTTTTCGGAGACCCTGCCCACTTCTGCTGCTTGTTGCTCTTCCCTCTCCACCCCCTGCCGCCTTTGATCTTCATCCCACTTGGCTTGGCACTGGCTTGGAGGTCTCCTGCTGCGTTGCCCCAGGGATAGGTCCGGAGCTCACAAGGTTTCACTCCCTCACTTTATCACAGCCCAGATCTGACCTCCTGCTTGCTTCGCTGTGGCCCTCTGAAACTGGGGAGGGAAGGGCAAAGGAGAAAGGTAACTTTGGGCATAACCAGAGACGATTTTGCAGGCCAGGGACAGGGCAGGCAGATGCTCTTTGATAGGCATAGGGACCCCCACCCCTGGATCCAGTGATTGTAGGTAGGGGTCAGGAAGTCAGGCTCTGGGTGGGAAAGTCCGGCCACTTTCCAGTTCAGACTGCTTCCTCCCAGGGAGAGCACCGCAAGCTCATGAGCTCCTCTGTGCCTCAGTTTGCTCAGCTTTAAGATGGAGCTGGTAAGAACAGCCACATCATCTGATTGTTATGAGGGCTCAGTGACATCACATGGGTCACTCCTTAAATCTGCCGTAGGTTGCGGCTGCTCTGGAAGCTGCTTTGGCGGAACTTCAGCAGCTCTCAGGATGTGTAGCTGCTGTGGGTCTTGGAACATCTTTCCTGCCTTCTGCACAGTAGGCCTCTACCTCCTCTTTTACATTCTTTTCTTTCCTCCATGGACCCATGACCCAGTTTGATGCTGATGACCTCAGGGGGTCTACCGTAGCTATTCCTTCAGTTTCCTGTCCACCCTGCCCCCAGCCTCTTTCTGCTTCATGTCTTGCATGGAGTTGCTCTGTGGATCTTGTAGCCCTGCTTCAAGTCCTCCTTGGAGCTCAGGGACTAAAGAAGAAATAGCTCCGTTCTTCAGCTTGATTTAAGACCCTCTGCGATCTAGCCTTTGTCTGAAATGCTCAGCCTTTTGTGGGCTTGGGAAGTCTGAGTCCAAGTTTAAATGTAGGTCCCACTGAGGCTGAGCTGTGGCATCTCGGTTTTCTTAGTTATAAAACAGAAGGGACTATACTCGCCTTGTGGTTTAACAAGGATGTGGGCGGGGTATGTGCTGTTGTAACCTGGACAGCAGCTCACTGTTTTTACTTTTGAGTTTTCAGTTTTTTTGAGACAGGGTGTTCCTGTAGCTGCAGTTGGCTTGGAACTCACTGTGTACACCCAGCTGGCCTTGATTTCACAGAAATCCGCCAGCCTCTGCCTTCTGAGTACAGGGATCAAAGGTGGGAGCCACCACTCCCAGGTAGTTTCCTTCCCTTCCCTTCTGGAGGCCTTGGCTCACATCACACTCCTGTTCTCAGATGTACCTTCCTAGGTCTGCTCTCAAACTCACCTTTCACTGGAGCTCCCAGAGGGCAGGACCATACTAGGCCAGCTCTGCATTTCCCACACCACCCCAAACCCACTGATAGGTGCGGAGGTGCTCTTGCCCAAAGGATTGGAGAGTGTGGATGAATGAATGACTTGGGGGCAGTGTAGTATAAAGGGATGGATGAGATGGGTGGTCTTCTCTGGGTCTTGTTTGAAGACCGTAGATGACAGGTATCTAATGGGTGGGGTCTCTCTCTCTCTCTCTCTCTCTCTCTCTCCCCCTCTCCCTCTCTCCCTCTCATTTCCTTGATTTTTGTATGTGACCAGGTCTTATGTAGCTCAAACTGGCTTTAAATTCAAACTTGTTGTGTAGCTAAGGATGACTGAAACTCCTGCCTCCATATCCTGAGTACTGGAATTGCAGGCATACACCACCACACCCAGTTTATACAGTGCCGAGGATTGAACCCAGGGCTTTGTATATGCTAGGTGAACACTCTACCAATTGAACTACATTCCCCGCCCCTGGGCAGCCATTTTCAATGTATGGTCCAAGTTTTACAAACAGGATAGATCCAAATTCTATAGAGAAGAGGAGTTTTTTAGGGGCAGAAATTCAGGGGCAGTTAGGGAAGGGCCTTGTCTGAATCTTGTCATGTGCAGACCAACCAACCATATGTTTTTTAAAATGTGTGTTCAGTGCACTCCTTCTTTGGGGGTGCACGGGAGGTTGGCATACTCCCCACAACTAGCCCAGGGAGTGGGGACTTCCTTGTGACAGGGCACTCCTGCTGGGAAGTCTCAGAAAGTATCTTCCCAGAATGGGGTGGAGAGGTTGGGGTTGCACAGGGAGGGGTGGGATGTGACTCTGACACAGATCAGGTTCCACACTCAGGTGTACTGATGGGCTATCAGGAATTAATGCACAAGAAGGAACAGAAGGACCTCGGGGACAGTTGTGACTCATCTGTTCTATCCCTAGATTGGGTAAGGTTTGTTTCCCCAGAAGTTTTGGGGATATCTGCATCCTGGCATCAGCCCGTCTTCACTGCCCCCATCTTCCATTCCCAGGCCATGAATTCCTCAGCCCCCTCTGAATCTACAATATTTTAATGCTTGATGTCTATCTCCGTATGGAGTCTTGTTTTTATCATGAGGCCACTGGAAAGTTCTCTTTTTAAAAAATATCTCTTTGAAACAGATGTCTGCCAAAGCTCCCAGCCCAGATCAAGGGCAGGTTCAAGGCTTTGAGATGGGTCTGAATGTCCTTTTAACATCGCTCCAGCTAATACCCAAATATACCTCCCATCATTACCCTGTTCTATAAGTTGCTCTGAACCATATGTTCGGGAACTAATTAAGCATACAATTCAAGCCCTGGGATCAGGTGGCACTCTGTTGAAATTTCTTAACCTTTCATGATTATCTTAATTTAGAGAAAATTCAAAACACATTCAGAAGTCTTAGAAATGAAGTTAGTAGGAATTTACTGGCTGGCTTCTTTTCTTGATGTCAGGGTCCTTTCTTTACAAGCTGAGCCCAGGTCCCCTGGGAAGTCCTCCGGACTCGCTCACAGCTTCCAGAGATGTGGAGACAGTTGCTGGCCTGGCGGGCTGAGCAGAGACCAAGCCTGACTTCACTTTCCTTGCCCAGTGGCTTTTCCCAGCTTTCACCCAACCATGCCTAGCTCCTCCCTAGCTCGGTGCCCCTCCTGCCCCCCCCGCCCCCCGCCATGCATGCACCAGGGGGAGCACGGAGAGAATAGATTCCGCACTTCGAATGTTTACTTCTTTTTTAAACAGAATAAAGCATGAAATGAGGGGGTAGGAAATGTTCCTGTAGCTGTTGTTTTGGGGAGTCATGGCTGGAGTGTGCAGAGCTGACTCCCCACTGACTGCAGGGGAAGACAGATAAGAGACCCTTTGTCTTTCTGGATTTTAGATATTCTGGAGCAAGGGATGGTGATCTGGAGATCTGTCTTTTGCTTCTTCAGGTAAAGGGGATGCTTGATTTGCAAGGCGTGACTACAGGGGCATCAGATCAGCTTACCACAAGGCATTTGAGCTTACTGGACCTATCTTCCTGGAGGATCTACCAGAAGTCAGGTCTGTTCTGGGTGGCCTATGCTTTAAATTGCCTCTGACCCAGGGACACTGATAGAGCAGAAAGACTGGGCTGGATCTCAAAATCACTCCCTTTTGATATTCTTGGGACAATTAAACTTAATTTAGAATTATTAGTTGTTATTTTAGAATAGGATTTCCAGAGAAACTACAGAATGCCTGGTCAGAATTAAATTTTAGACAAACAGTGCATATATATTTAAAAATATTTTTTTAATTTTATGTGTATGAGTGTATTTCCTACATGTAAGTGCACCCATGTCATGCAATGCCTGTGGAGGTCAGAAGGGGGCGTTGGACCCCTGGAGTTAGAGACGGTTGTTAGCCACCATGTGGGTCCTGGGAATTGAACCTGGGTCCTTTGCAAGAACAGTCAGTGCTCTTAACCCCTGAGTTATCTCTCCAGTCCCCCATAAATATTTTTATAACTCTAAGTAGACTTCAAATGTTACACAGGACACAATTATACTAAATAATTGTTGCCTGTTTTAGCTAAAAATGCCAAATTAACTGGGCATTCCCTATTTTTACTTGGTAAATATTGCAGATGAACTTCAAAAAAAGGGTATAATCTAATGGAGGTACTAATTTTGAAGGTTACCATCAAAGAACAACCTTGGACTGGACCTTTAGCTAATGTTCTTCTTAGAGCTCAACACAATCCCATGAGGTAGAGCTTGTGAGCAAACTGAAGAGATGAAGTGAACTCAGAGACATCAAGTGGCTCCCCCAAGGTTGCACAGCTGCACCCATAGCCCAGCTTTGCTGGACTTCAAAGCCTAGGCCCCTTCGATGCTACCCCAGTGCCAAGCTGATGCTTATCTCCCTGAGTTCTCATTTTCCTAGCTGGCCCTGGCTCCTCTCAACTTCTTCCTCATTTTTTCCACAAATGTTCAAGGAGAGATTCACTCCCGTCAGATCAATGTCACTACCATAATGCAAACCACCACCCCAACCCACGAAAGACGAGGTCTGTGGAACCTAATGAGAATGGTTCCGATTATGTAGAAAGCAACCTCATGGTTATTCTAATGTTACAAGTAAATGTGAAACATTTAGAAATACTTGGCCTGGCCTTTTTTTTTTCAAGTACAGATGTCTGACTCTCCGCCAGTTTGTTATTAAAAATGCTATGGTGGTTGGGTACAAAGATTGCTGTAAAAATAAAAGCTGATGCACGCCCAACACTTGTTTTGACTCTGCAGAGAGGCTGGTAATGAATGGCAAGGTCAGAGCAGATGGTGACCAATGATGGCTTTCATTGAGAACCCCAATATTCATAGCTGTCACTGCCCCGGTGACCCCATAGTGGCTTCCCATCGCCCCTCAAACCCCAAATTGGCCCCTGCCACCTCCAGCCCCAGCTGTTGCCGCCCTTCCCTTTGCTCACCCGCATCTTCTGACTTACCGCAGTTTGTGCTTGCCAGACCCTGGCTTAGGGGGCTTGTCCCTTCTCTTCATGGTAGCTGGCACCTCTTCTTCCTCCTCCAGCTCCTCTCCTGACTCGAGTCACAGCTGTGGCACCGCTCGGCTCATTTTCTTTATTTCCCATAACTCTCTGATATCCTCTTTACTCGGTGGCTTTCCCACCAGAAAGAAAACCGTGTGAAGGTAGAGTCCCACCATTCTGTTCACCTGCGCTGTCTCCCAACACCTGGGCAATGGTACATTATGTATTAGTTGCTCAGTAAACATTTACTGAACAATTGAATCGATCAGAGCGTCTGCAGTGTTTTGTCCCCTCTGAGGCCATAGCCAGAGGGGACATCAACTTCTATAAATTGCAACCCATTCAGGGAGAACCCACACACATGGAGAATCTTAAAGTTCTATGAGCTGTGGTTTTTGGAGTCCAGCAGGAAATTTCTCTAGTGTAGGTGGACAAACATAAAACAGAAGACTCAGGATTCATACACATCAACAAGACATCATCACCCTAATAATCCTCGTGTTGCAGGGAGACATGTTGACGGAGCTGGAACAGTCTGGTGGACATGGTAGGAGGCACTGCTGAGTGGGTTTGCTCCTTAGTGTGGCCTTTGAGGTGCTACCCACACCTGCGTTGTTCTCCCTTCCTGGTTCCCACTCATGCCCCATTCTGAAGCTGCCTGTTGTTACTTCTGAATAGTTTGCTGCACACCCCTTCCTTCTGTGCTGTCCCTTGCCAGCCCGTCCAGCGGCGTAGACATCCCCTGCTCCCGGCCTGGGCATCTTCACACCCTAGACATCCCTGGGCCTGATGCAGAGGTTACATTGTGTCACTTCTGGTCCTATTTGACCACTTCTCTCTCGGAACTCCCTAATCCCAGGGAGTTACTTCTTTATCCTCATCTCTTTCCACACCAGCTTGAGTTTGAGCTGCTTTTAAGGGCAGGCACTGTGCCTCAGTTCTGTGCCCTCCTTTTGATGATATTTTTCAGTATCACACAGCCTCAAGTCTTAGCTCTGAGTTTAACAGTGTAGGGTCAGGTGCGATGACCGACCATAGCTTTACCTCCTCAGCCAGATACAAGAAGAAACAACATGGCTACCAGAGTAGGTATTCTATCTTTGTTACGTATGTACGTGTTTGTGTGCCTGCATGTGTGTGCATGCATGTATATGTGGATGTGTGTGGAGGCCAACCTCAAATATCACTCCCAGAACTACCCATCATGATTTTTTCTGTCTTTTTGAGACAGGGTCTCCCTGTAGCCCCTACTGGCCCAGAACTCACTATGTAGGCCAGGGAAGCCTCAATCTTACAAAGATCTGCCTGTCACTGCCTCCTGAGTGCTGGTATTAAAAGCATGTGACCAGGAAATCTTTTTTTTTTAATTTACATT